GCAGGGTCCAGAATAGACCCTTGTGGGACACCTTTAGGTACCAAGATTTTATGGGAATTGACATCATTAACTCTTACATACTGGTATCTATTGAGTAAATAAGACATAAACCAAGAGTGAGATTTACCACGAAAGCCAAGCGCTTCAAGTTTACGTAATAGAAGAGTGTGATCAATGAGATCAAAAGCTTTACTGAGATCAATAAACACGCCAATTGTAAGAAGTCCATCATTCATATTAGAAAGGGTGTTATGTGCAAACTGAAGATTGGCTAATTCAGTTGATCTGCCAGATCGGAAGCCAAATTGGTTTTCCGATAGGAGATGAAAAGTTGTTATAAATTTGTGCATTCGAATATACATGAGTTTTTCTAATATCTTGGACAATGGAGATAATAAAGATATGGGCCGGTAGTTGTTTATACAACGTTTGTCACCTTTTTTATATATAGGAATAACACGAGCAGTTTTAAATACAGTGGGGAAGACACCTTGTTTAAATGATAAGTTAAATATATAGGCAAGAGGTTTAGTGATATTGTAAATGCATTTTTTAATTATATAGTTGCTGAGTTCATCATCAGATAAGGATTTTGTATTTTTCATATTACCAACCACATCTAAAATTTCAGATTCATTAACACTATAAATATAAAAAGAATTAGAGCTATTACCAGACAAGAAAGAATTATCACAAGAATTGTAATTATCATCGATAGAAAGTAAGCTTTCAATAAAGTAATTATTGAATTCATTAGAAATTGTCAAATTGTTAGTAACAACGTTATCATCAATCATTAATTGAGAAATATTATGAGAAGAGGCATTATTAAGCAACGAATTAATGAATTTCCATTTAAATTTTGAGTCATTGTTAGAAAATATATTACTATAATAATTACGCTCAGCCTTTCTTATAACACTAGTGAAACGATTGCGGTGGTATTTATATATCTTTAGATTAGAAGGTGTGGGATTCAAAATACATTTTTTAAATAGTTTATTTTTTATTCTAGAGGCTTTTATGATGTCCCTGGTAATCCATCCTTTGTGCTTGTTGTTGTTAATTACCTTGATTGGAGCATATCTATCAATTATAGAGTTAAAGTGATTATAGAAAGACAGACAGGATACCTCAACGTTTTCAGATCCAAGTACATCATCCCATTTGGTCATGGATAAAATTTTATTGATAATGTCAAAAGTTTTAGTAGTGAAATGACGAGTACCTAAGATACCAGGTGGCTGAGAGGACAAATTTGTGCTATTGAAGAATGAAAATATTGGATAATGGTCCGAAAAATCAGATAAAAGAATACCAGCTGTATGTGGTAAAGAACTATTACTAAAGATGTGGTCAATTAGAGTGGCTGATGTATTTGTTACTCGTGTAGGTAATTCAATCGTCGAGGAAATATTGTAAGTTGCTAGTAAATTTTTAATTGCCATACTTTGAGTAGTGCATTTAGATAGGTCAACATTGATGTCACTAACAAGGTAAATATCCGTTGTAGGTTTAAGCTTATCCAAAATACATTCCAGATGTCTTAAAAAAGCATCGAAGGAAGAAGCAGGAGGTCGATATATGGCTAAAATTGTACCCTTAAAATAGTTGCAAGTAACTTTAATACATAAACTATCTGAAAGATCATCATCAAATATCGATATTAAATTAGTTACAAAAGGAATGTCTTTTCTAATAAAAAACCTCCTCCTCCTCCTCCTACACCTCCTCCAATTCCGCCTGTTCTATTTTTACAAGCAAAATTTAAGGAATCAATATTAACTAATTTACATGTAACGTCATTTAACCAGGTTTCAGAAACAATAATGAAATGAAATATGTTAGAAAATGATTTAATCAAAATTTGTAAATCTGACAGTTTATTAGTATTAGTATTAGGTTTTAAAATTAAAACCTAAAACGTCGTTAGAGCTTCTTGTCTTCAATATCTCTTACGGAAAGACGCTTTTGGCTTTTCCAAATCTCAGAGTGGCACTTAAAATACTTCTTACCCTATCTGTATCCATTGCGAGTTGTGAACAATCTTTTAACAAATTAAAACTATTTTCTACGTATCTAATATCAACAATGGGACAAAATCGCCTAAGTGACATGGTATTTTTAAATGTGAAAAGAGAAAAGTTTGAATTTATTCATTTTAATAAAATAATTGATGTGTTTGT